CAGGGTTCTCGTTCATAAACACAGTGTGTGGACACAGTGCCAGTACCTCCCACCTGCAAGGGAGCAGCTGTTCCCAAAAGCATGGGGTACCCCCAGCTGTCTACTTTCACCAGGGCTGCTGCCCATCATTTCCAAGAATAAACACCAGCTAGTAGCTGCGTGGATCTGAATCATCTGGGAGCTTCCAGAGGAGGGAGTGACTTCCCCGGGACAGACAAGCAGGTTATATAAGTTCCTGAGGGTTGGACTTCACACAGATCTCTTCCTGTGGCTACTGCCTGCCAGAGAGTTACCTACAGAGAACTTGCTTGGCATCTACCATGTCCGAGGTAAGAAGGCCCAGTGGGGGCCAGCTGGTGCCAAGGGAGTTGGGAAGGAGCAAGTCTGGACGCTAATTGGTGGTGTCCGCTTTGAACTAAAAGCCAAGCCTAAGCAGGGGCTCTGCAAGCCCTGTCAGAGAAGACACTCTGGGTCCCACCAGGCTCTGGTGAATGGCCTTGGTTGTCCCACAACTTGTTGTGAGGTGTTGGGGGAATACTTCCATAGAACTGTGTGTGCTTTTGTATGTGTATGAGGGAGCAGATTTTGATAGCTTAGTGTATCCGGTTATATACATTTGTAATCTGGAGGAAGGGTGAGGGAGGGTGGCTGTACCTATAGGTCACAGCGCTGTGTCCTTCTGTCTCCCTGGCAGGGTGTGTCTCTGGGCAGGCCCATGTTTCCCTGGGAGCCCAGCCCAGGCCGAGTGAGGGAAGCCCTGCACCTGCCTTCAGGGCTTAAGAAGGACTAAGACTTCAACCTCACAGGCGCCGGGGGTGGAGGGGAAGGGGAAGCAGAGTTTGGCTTTTTCAGCTCTACTGGGACAGAACAGCAAGGTTGTCCTTGCTGCTTGCTCCACGGCTGTCTACCCCATCTCCTTTCCAAACACAATAATAAAAAATACCAGTGTTTTTGGTTTGGGGAAAGCAGGACAGTCCTTATTGGACTCTTTGCTACCCAGTGAACAGGTCTTAGAACTCACCAGATTCCCTAGGGCTGCTCAGTCTTGAAAGTCCATCCTTTTCCCCTCTGCCCCTTGTGTCCAGTCCTGAATTTGGCCAGGCAAACAGGCCAGCATGAGGATGCAGTGGCCATCACCCCCAGGAGCTCTCTGTGGGCTAAGGTCAGATGTCCAAGTCAGACCAAGAGGGCAGGGGAACCTGCAGAGGCTGGGAAAGGAATGGGCTTTGAATTGACCGAGTTCAATGATCTACAAAGATGAACTCCTGCCAGAGTTGGAGGGGTTCGTCTCAAGGCCTCAAATTGTAAGGCTCTGGACTTTCCAAGGTTGGCACCTCTGAAGCCCCCATCAAGAAGAAGCGTCCCCCTGTGAAGGAAGAAGACCTGAAGGGAGCCCGAGGGAACTTGGCCAAGAACCAGGAGATCAAGTCTAAGACATACCAGGTCATGCGGGACTGTGGTGAGTGTATTCCGGGTCGTGCGGGACTGTGGCGAGTGTATTCCGGGTCGTGGGGGACTGTGGCGAGTGTATTCCGGGTCGTGGGGGACTGTGGCGAGTGTATTCTGGGTCGTGGGGGACTGTGGCGAGTGTATTCCGGGTCGTGGGGGTCTGTGGCGAGTGTATTCCGGGTCGTGCGGGACTGTGGCGAGTACTCCAGGGCACGTGGCAGGACTGCAAGCGTAAGCATCTCCCAGTGGTAGCTGAGAGGTGTTGAGAGTTTCTGGGTATAACAGGGGCTGGCCCCAGCATAGGGAGGGAGCCTTGCCCCTGAGAAACCCAGTGTAGGCCCCTGATTCCTCTCTTCCACCTCTTCTACCTACAGAGCAAGCTGGCTCTGCTGCCCCATCTGTATTCAGCCGCAACCGCACAGGCACCGAGACAGTCTTTGAGAAGCCCAAAGAGGGACCTGCCAAGAGCGTCTTTGGCTGAGAAGTGTGCACTGCACCACTCCACACACCTGGACACAGGAGCCTCTCCCACGAGCTCGTTCTTTTTTTTTTTTTTTTTTTTTTTTATAATGCTGGAGGATGACTTTTCCCTGCTGTCTCCGGAACCGTCCTGACTCCCCACAACCCTAGCCCTTCTTTACCATCACCTTGGAAACACCAATAAAGAGGTGCCCGAGTGGCTTCAACCTTGGGAAGGTGTCAGTTGGTCAGTGGCCACTAACTGCAGAGGAGGAGAGGGCAGTGTGGGGATGGAACACGTTCAGTGCCCTTCCTGGGCTCTGGGGTGGGCGGGGCAGGGGGTACTGCGTGCTGGCTTTCCGGGCTGCTGAGATGTACTAGAAAGACTCGCTGACACAATACAGTCCTGATGACTGTACACCTCTCTGCTCTCTCTCTCTCTCTTTTTTTTTTTTCTTCGAGACCGTTTTTCTAACAGCCCTGGCTGTCCTGGAACTCGCTCTGTAGACCAGGCTGGCCTTGAATTCACAGAGACCCTCCTGCCTCTTCCTCCTGGGTGCTGAGATTCAAGGTGTGCACCACCATGCCCAGGTTCTGTTCTCCTTTCTAATCCTCCATTTCCGGGCTGGAGAGATGGCTTCACAGTTAAAAGTACTTGCTGTTCCTGCAGAGGACCCTAGTTCAATTCCCAATAGGCACACGGTGGCTCACAACCATTTAACTCTATCACCCTCTTCTGGCCTCTGTGGGCATTGCATACATTGGTACACCTGCAGTCAAAATATTCATATACCTTAAAATAAAATAAAATAAAAAATTAAAGCTAGCCCCTGGTTTCCCATCATATGCAACAGGAGAGTTGAGTTGATGCTTATTCCTTAAAGCAGGTCACAGTGACACTTCTCAGAGTTACGTCATTGGAGGCCTAGCTCCCTCTGCCTGCCATGGAAGCCACTGAGGTGTTCCCAAGGTCCTCAGCGCCCAGCTCCCTCCACCTTGTTAGGTTGCTGCTTTACTGTGTGTCTCCATCTCAGAGACAAAACTAGGTGTGGTTCCTCTGGCCAGTGGTGGTGAGTTTCCTGGACTCTCACCCACCACACTCTCAGCCCCAGCATGTTATCTGGGTTGTGAGAATACCAGGTGCCTAGCTAGGTGTGACCTCTTCAGACCTGTGTCCTGTGTCTGCTGTGTCAGAAGGAGGAGACGAAAAGCCTGCAGCTGGGATGTTGGCACATCCACAGGTCTGTAGACCACAGACAGGCTAATCGTGGCTCCCTCAGAGCAGGGCCTGGCTTGTGGATGACTTCTGCTGCGAAGCCCCTTGTGTGCCCTGGGCAGGTAGAACTTTCTCGGGGCATTTCTTACGACCTAGCCAGCCTGGCCTTATATAGCTCTGGCTCCAGGCTGGACCTATGCTCTGTGTCCCAGAGGAGCAGACCTTCTGTGGGGACAGACCCTGGAATTGCTCATTGGATCTCTTAAGAACGTTCGTCCCAGAAGAGCTGTGTCCCCTGAGTAACCCCAGTCCCATCCAGAGCCAAGAGGGTGAGCAGGTGAACAGAAGTGTGGCCTCTGGCCATAACCTTGAAAGGAAAGGGAAGGTTTTAATGGAAGCAGCAGAAATTGTTCCAAAGTCTATGATACCCTGTCCTAGGGCCAGATACCACAGCCTTGACTAAACTGTACTAGTGATAGCACACCAGCAGCTGGCCACCTTTTCATGTCCACAGACCCAGGAGTGGCCTTTCCAGAGCCACTGAAGAACATCAACACCGTCTTCACCAAGTACCCAGTCTGTTCACTTTATCACTATTTGTTATAAAACAAAAAACAAAACAAAACCCAGTACTTCAACTTTATCAAGGACATATGGAGAAAAGCCACTAGCAGCACTTAAGTAACACTCTCATGGTCCTGCTGTGACCAAATCAGGCCACCACTCTACCTGTACACAACTTTCAGGAACCCTGCGCAGCTGGCTCCTGTGTGCCCCACCTTCCCCGCAGAGACTGTCCAACATCACAGCTCTAGGCTGAGGATATGCATCTTCACAACGCTTGGGTGTTGTCAAATTGCAGGCCTGTTTGGGGGTCTGCGGGAGCTTGAGTGACTCCAGCTTGGTCTGACGAATCAAAAATGCACACTTACTTTCCTCAGCTTTGCTGAAATAGGACAAACAGGATGTTTTACCAAGAGAAACAGCACGCTTTACCTCACTGAAAACTGGGAAGTGGTTTAACTGTCCCGTACCTTGAACCCAAGCGAGTTTCAGATAAAGAAGTCTGTAACAATGTGGTATTCTTTGCTGATGCTCCTATGCCTATTTCTAAGCTGTATACAAGCACTGGGCAGAATAAACTAGGGGCTGCAGTATTCACTGACAGTCCTCCCGAATCTGTCCTACGTCTCTGTCTTTTCTTGATCCTCACACCCCGTTTCAGGTTAGACAGGTCGACTGGTTCTGACAGGGGTCTGTCTACTTGGCTTGAACCTAAAGTTCAGTTACAGTAATAGGAACCAAACAGCAGCCTTGAACCAGAGAGTGAACAGAGGCTCCTGGCCCAGTTTGCTCCAAAAAGCGTATATCCTTGTTGGTGTCCTCAGAGACCTCTAGGCCTCTTGATGTTTCGGGAAACCCCAGGCATGCCTACCTGGCTAGTAAGGCCCTGTCTCCTCCAGGAAGCCACCTAGGGTATCCTTCCAAGCCCTAGTATTCCTGGTGAAGCCTGTATTTCCACCCAGGCCAGACTCATGAAGAGCAGACTGGCCTCGTTGCTGGGTGCCTCTGGCCTTACAAAGCTTGGTGGATGACCTTTGTGAGGTTGTGATTCCTGAAAATCTGGACCTTGCAGAAGGGGAGCTAATACCCAGCCCCAACCTGAACCTGCCTTTCCTCAGGGTATACCCTGCTGTGAGCCAAGTTCACTGTACATAGGTCATTTGTCGTCTTATCTGAAGCCCCGGGGATTTTTGGCTTGGAAACCCCATTTCCCAGAACTTGCGCCAGTGGGGGCAGGACACCCAGCAAGTTACCAATTTATAACCAACTTGCTCTCGAGTCCAGAAGCAGCCTGGCAGGCAACTGAAGGCCAATGAAGAGCCCAGCCTCTGGCCACATGTGGAGCATTGTGTCGGTCTTGCCCTCGCTACTGGCTGTGCTTCAGACCACCACTGCCACGAAGGTAGCAGTACCCACGGGGGCCTCCCTGTATGTGTGGTATGAGCCGGGGAAGGAGCAAACACATCTGGGAAGCTGGGGAGCGCCCCTGGGTGTGCAAGTGTTTACATAGGCATGTGTGCAGGCAGGTCAGTGTGTGTGAAAAGACCTGGTGCTGACTAGTCACCGGGCACTACCCAGAGATCCTTACCGCTTCCTTCACTTAACAGAAGGAGTGACCCTGCTCTTGCCACTTTATAGATGAAGGGAAGCTTAGCCCATGGCCCCCTGAGGCCGACAGCAGAGCTAAGTAGGTCAGAATGTGGCTGTACGAGCCCAGCTCTTCTGTTCTGCATGTGTGAGTTCTGGGAAATACTTAGGTTCTGTTTCCTCACCTGAGAGTAATAATATAACCGACTCAGAGGGCAGTGCTGGCTGAGAATCAAGCTCACGATGCCTCGGAAGCGTTCCGTGCCACACATGGTACAGAGCTGACGTCTAACCTGTGAACAAGTCATGCTGTCCCTCCGTGCTAAACTGGGGCCGGTGACAATGCGTATCTGAATGGTCTGTGTGTGCACAGCATGGCACATGGAGCAGGCACAGGAGCACAGGCCTGTATGTGTGTACAAATCCCTTCTCCAGCCTCAGGGCAAAGTCTATGGGCTGAGTAGCAACCCTGTGGAGGGATTGGGACAGAGGACCCATTACAGGCAAAATGGGCGAAGAAGATTGTCACTCCTTCGAGACCTGGTCCTCTATAGATTCTCGCAGCTCCTGTGACCATCTAATAGCATCCTGCTTTCACGGAGCTCAGAATTTCCAAAACTCAAAGAACTTGTTCACTGCCCTTTTACTAGGCAGAGCTCAGCCTAGACACAAGGTCCCTGACTCCGGCCTCTCACCTCTGCCCAGTGTGATCCTGCCGGGCTTGGACTATTACCCTTTACCCCTGTGTGCTTGCTATTTCCCATGGGGCCTCTGGAGACCGGCTCTGTGGTGCTGTCTTGTGGGGAATGAGGTCCACAGCTGCCTCTGACTTCAGAGAAACGTTCCCATGTGATATGTTTGGCGGGGTTCAGCCTGGGGCCTAGTCAGTATCTGAGGAAGGGTGGGGTTTGGTCCGGAACCAGAGTCGAAGCCTACTCTGAAGAGCTGGGGGGGTGTCAGCTAAACAACCCAGCTCTCTTCCCCTTCCCTTGTCCAGAATGGCATCGACATCTACAGCCTGACGGTAGACTCCCGGGTGTCTTCCCGATTTGCCCATACTGTTGTTACCAGCCGGGTGGTCAACAGAGCCAGTGATGCTCAAGAAGCTACCTTCCAAATAGAGCTACCCAGGAAAGCCTTCATCACCAACTTCTCCATGTAGGTGTCTTCCTACCACGTCCGATCCCCAACCCAGCCCTGCAACTCCATCTCCTCTGGGCCTGAGACGTGTTGGCCCAGGAGCTGGTCACTCGGGATGCTGCTCCGCCTGTGAGCCTCACAGGCATCAAGGGTGTTATCAAGCCCAGAGATATCTCTGTCCCTCCTGTCATCCAGCCTCCTCTCTAAGAACTGCTAGGTGGCAGACCACGAACCACAGCATCTTGGAGTCTTTGCCTTTGAGAAGTACAAGCCTAGGGCAACTCTAGGCCAGAGCTAGGAACAGGAAGTCACCAAAATCAGCTGGAAAAATGGAAACCCTAACTCCTGGGGTCCTCTTTGTCACTGCAGAGGGCAGGCTGGTCTACTGTGTTTCCTCAGGAGATGCCAGGGTTTCTGTGGACTGTGAGCTGGCAGTAGTCCATACCTCTCCCCCCCCCCCCCCCCCCCCCCCCGCGCCTTCCTTCACACCCCCGCCCTGATCTATTTTGCAATGTTTATTAAACTTGGGGAAAATCCATGCTTGGCCCTAGCCTCCTGGAGAGGCAGGCATTGAAGGCAGGCTGCTTCCTGTAGGGGGAGCATTTAGGGGTGGAAGAGAGCAAGAGCATTGGCTAGGGTGGGTGTTTCTGGAAAACTGCAGGGGTGGGACTAGGTTCCCTGTGGTTGGCCCCTCCCTTTCTCCCCACCCACCTCTCCCCCAGAACAGTTTCCGTTCTCTGACCCTGGAGCCTAGGCCAGTGGGCCCTCAGATCTTTCCACTGCATGAGACAGAGAAGAGCAGGGCAGGTTTCCCTGTTCCCAGCCCTGGCCAGGAACCCCAGCGTAGCATCTGGAGAAACTATGAACTTCCTATCCAGCAGAAGGAGCCAGGCTTCCTGTTCATCCCCACTCTGACCCAGAGTTACACCCTGACCAGAGGAGAGAGAGAAAGATGCCTGTTGTGTGTGCGCAGCTAGGTCCCCTCCCTTCCCCTTCCCTGTACACTTCCACCCTCTCACACCACTCCCAGGAGGAGCAGGTGTCCATTGACGTCCCTGTTCACCCCACAAGGAACTCCTGGAACAGCCGTTTTCTGTGCAGAGAAATGGCCTGGCAGTTCCTTCTCAACCTCAATGGATGACGGCTAGAAGCTTGTCTCCACCACTAGGTACCCCAAACCTGCTCCCAAAGATGCCAAGCCCCCTGCAACACCCATCCTAAGCAGGAGGGTTGAGGGAGAAGCTGCAGAGAATGGGATCACATCCTTCAGTCCTTCGTCTCCCTCCTGCTCGAGTCTGGCCACACAAGAGGTAGATTCAGGGCTGCGTAGAGAACAGTTCGTTACGGTGTTGTTCTGCTGTGACTGGCCGGAACCTCAGAACAGTTCATAAGGGTCATGGAGGAGCTCGGAATGTGGGCTGAGTTTAGCCCAGTCCTGCCTCCCCTATAACCTTCTGCCCTGTCCCTGCAGTAACACCCGTGTGTACTGACACGGTGTATGTCTCAGGATAGCTGAAAGCCTCTGCCAGTGTCATACATGAGGACTTCCACACAGTAAGTACCTGATAGATGGCAGTGGCCTTAGACAAAGACAGGAGTCACATCAAGAAGCTCACCAAATTCTAGAAAGACCCTTCTAAAAGAAGTTCTCAACTTCTCTTCCCTACCTAGGGTCATTGATGGCGAGACCTACCCAGGGATTGTCCAAGACAAGGCTGCAGCCCAGGAGCAGTACAGTGCCGCAGTGGCCCGGGGAGAGAGCGCTGGCCTCGTCAAGTGAGCCTGTGGGGAGGGTACATATAGGCAGAGACGGCCCCTACCTTGACCTTTCAGCCTTGCTCCCCTCCAGCAGCCATCCCCTACCTGATTCTTGCTGTTCTTATCCCCCAGGACCACTGGGAGACAGACAGAGCAGTTCCAAGTGTCAGTCACCGTGGCTCCTAATGCCAAGATTACTTTCGAACTGGTATACCAGGAACTGCTCAGGCGGCAACTGGGAACATATGAGCTCCTCCTCAAAATAAAGCCACAGCAGCTGGTCAGGCACCTTCAGGTACCTGGCTGGCACCACGCTCTCCAGGAAGCCCCCTAGGTTTTCCTTCCAACTAAGGCAACCTCTCCTTGCCACCTAGCTTCCTGGGAGCACAGCCCACCTCATGGATCCCCTGGTGACCCATATCTTGCTTCCAGATGGACATCCACATCTTCGAGCCTCAGGGTATCAGCTTCTTGGAGACAGAGAGCACCTTCATGACCCAGGAGCTGGCAGATGCCCTTACCACCTCACAGAACAAGACCAAGGTGGGTCTGCTATGACCACCAATTGAGGACACCCCAGGGTCAGGCTTTAGTACAGCTGACTATGGTCTAGATTCCCATAGTTCCCTGAGCTGGGAAGGCTTCTGAGATCTGTGTCCTTGCCACTGCCAAGAAGATAGGACGGTAAGACCTAGAGATGGCCAGTGGACCTGTAGAAGAGCTTGGGGCGTATGGTAGACAAACTTGGAGAGTAGACTGATGGGAGGGTCCTCAACAGAGATAACTGGATTGCACTGATCGCAGATGCTTGCATGTCCCCAGAACTGGGATTCACACATGAACATGCCCTCACACACATACCAAATGGAAGCAGTCACCGTTCAGCTCAGAATGAGTCTCCTAGAATTTCCACCCATGGCTGCATATGGAATCTGATTTCCCAATGTGGACACAGAAGGGGGTGTTGGCCTCACTGGACCTTTCGACTTCAGCTTTGACTGCTCCTCCAGGCACACGTCCGGTTCAAACCAACACTCTCCCAGCAGCAAAACTCTCAACATGAGCAGGACACAATCCTGGACGGGAACTTCATTGTCCGCTATGATGTGGACCGGTCTGTCTCGGGGGGCTCCATTCAGGTGGGTGGACTCCAGGCAAGAGCAGTGAAACCTCAAAGTCCATTTCTAAGCATGAATGTTCCGGAAGAGGGAAATGATGGCCCTCCTTTGTACGTTGCCCTGGGGGTTGGCTCAGACAGAAAATGGCGGTTCAGGTGTGGTGATCCTGAATACTATTCCCTTTCTGGGGGCAGAAAAGGTTTGTCTCTACAAAGACCTGCTTCGTGGGGTTTCCTTCTTTGCCATTGCTGCCCAGAGGCTCGTAGCTCAGGCTTGTAGGCAAGTCCAGCAGCGGTGGTCATCATTTGTGCTTCCTGTAACTCCTTATTTTCCCAGCATTCCCTCTGGATGGGTACCGGGTTCGCTGTGTCTTTTAGTAGAAGCCACTTCAAATACTAAAACAGGGGCCAGAGTTATGGAGAGAGTTTTAGGGCTCTACATGAACACGGAAGTCTTTCGTTAGCAAGGGGCTGAGCTTTGACAAATGGTGAGGATTTGGGGGAGCTAAGGAGCTGGGGTAGAGAGGGGTCAGGAAAGGAGAACATAGGCTCCAGGGATTGGGGATGAGGAGGTCGGCCGGAAGCAGGGCAAGGTTGAAGTTCTGATCACCTAGGTGGGCTCTCACTCTGGTCACAGATTGAGAACGGCTACTTCGTGCACCACTTTGCCCCTGAGGACCTTCCTACAATGCCCAAGAATGTGGTCTTTGTCATTGATAAAAGCGGATCCATGTCAGGCAAGAAAATCCAGCAGGTAAGTCTCCTGAACCCTGAGCTCAGCAGAAGCCTGACCTCTTATGGCATCATGGGTGGAGGCTGCCTGGGGCCAAACTTGGCCCCAGTCATATGTTATGAGCCCACCCAAGATACCAGGATACTAGCCCAAGGATCATGTACCTTTAGGGAGCTCCCCAGAGACACCTGCCTTGTTTTCTCTTCCCCTGATTAGACTCGAGAAGCCCTAATCAAGATCTTGAATGACCTCAGCCCCAAAGACAAGTTCAACCTCATTGTATTCAATGAGGAAATAACCCAATGGATGCCATCCCTGTTGGAAGCCTCAAAAGAGAACTTGAAGGAGGCCACAATCTACGCTTCCAAGATCGACGCTCTGGGAGGTGGGTGTCCCTGCATCGTGGGAGGCTGGGGGCTTCCGTGGTCACTAGCTGAGATCGGTTCTGAGGATGTGCCATTCAGGGACCAACATCAATGACGCGATGCTAATGGCTGTGAGGCTGCTGGACACCAGCAACCAGGCTGAGCTACTGCCCTCGGGGAGTGTCTCCCTCATCATCCTGCTCACGGACGGGGAACCCACCTCGGGTAAGGACACATGGAGCAAGGCTGGAACTGCTTCCGGGCTGGCTGTGAAACCCGGGGCAGGGAGAAGGGGGAATCCCTTTGGCTCTGAAGTTCCAGAAATATCCATTGAGCAAATTATTCTTTTCTCATCCTCTTCCCACATCCATGAGTCTAGGGGAGACGAATCCCGCAACTATCCAGAAGAACGTTCATGAAGCCATCAACAACAAGTACAGTGTCTTCTGCTTGGGCTTCGGGTTTGATGTCCACTATCCTTTCCTGGAGAAGCTGGCACAGGACAATGGTGGCCTGGCCCGGCGCATCTATGAGGACTCAGACTCTGCACTGCAGCTCCAGGTACCAGTTTGACCCGAGGTGGGATACAGACAGCCAGGCAGTCCCCGTTCGCCTCGCCTTTGTGACATATCCCCCCTGCCACCCTGTAGGACTTCTACCATGAAGTAGCCAACCCGCAGCTATTGGCAGTGACCTTTGAATACCCCAGTGATGCTGTGGAGGTGGTCACGCAGGACAGGTTCCGACACCACTTTAAGGGCTCAGAGATGGTGGTGGCTGGGAAGCTCCAGGACCAGGGCCCTGATGTCCTCTCAGCCAAAATCACTGGGCAGATGGTGAGTGTGGCTGGATCATCCTGGAGCCAAGGGGCAGCTGGGGCCGCCTGGGCAGCCTCCTCATTTGCAGCTAGAGGGACTGGGCTCGAGTCCCAGCCTTTCCAAGTTCCAGCAGATTGACCCTAAGTGAGTCCCCAAAGGACACTTTTCCTCAGGTTTTCCTAAAGGACACCAGCCCCAGATGCATACTTTCCCAATGCCCCATTCCCTCAGTCCTCATACTAGGCCTTGGAGGGTGTGGGTAGACAGAGAGGACTACTTCCCTTTCACAGGTGAGCAGACCAAGGTCCAGGCAGGACAGACAATGTATGCTGGTCCCCTCCTCTCCTTGGCCACCTCATAGAGCCCCAGCCTTGCTCAGCCTTCTCTGCCTCTGGGTGCAGGAGGCTCAGCCTGTCATCTCACACATGAAAACAGAGTCTTTACCTTGAGGCATGCAGAAGGAAATAAGGCCGACCCTCCTTACCCTTCTGGGACAGACAACTTGGACAGCACGGATCCAGGAATTCCGCACAGGGTCCGCTGAGATCGAGTGACGATAGGAGGGAGCAGAACCCAGGAGGAAGGAAGGACTGCTAGGCTCATGGGCCAGCCCGGCACCTTGTCTGCAGAGAGTCGCAGTGGGTGTGGGGGCCCAGGGCCACGTCTCAGACACAGCCAAGTGGTAGGACTGTTCCTGAAGACTGTGTGGCCCAACAACCCGTGAACACAAACATGACTCAGACTTCAAACATAAGGAACATAAGGGATACTTTTCTTTTCTAGTATTGGGAATTGAATCTAGGGCCCTAAGCAGATATTCTAACATGGATCTATATCCCCAGTCCTCTTTTTACTTTTTATTTTGAGACAAGACCTTGGTGAGTCTCCTGAGATGGCCTTGGACTTACCCTGTAGCCCAGACAGGCCTTGAATGTTTAAATCCTCCCATATCAGCCTCCCGAATAGGTAGAATTACAGGCTTGTGCCACCACACTCAGTCCTTGGGTCAACCCAGGGAAACAAAATTCATCTAAGGGAAAAGAGCTAGGAAACAGCTGTTGTCGACTATTACTCTGAGGGGTGCTGCTTTTGTTGATGTTGCATTTGTTTAACTCTGCGGAGCTGTGTTACTGTGCCTGTCTAAAACACCTGATGGTCTAATGCAGAGCTGAACGGCCAACAGCGAGCAGGAGAAAGGACGGGCGGGGCTGGCGGGCAGAGAGACTAAGTAGAAGGAGACATCTGGGAAGAGGGAGAAACAATGGGAGAGGAGGAAGGACTTCAGGGCCGGCCATAGGGTAAGAGGGGAAGTAAGATTACAGAAGGAAGAGGAAGATAAGGCCCCGAGGCAAAAGGTAGACGGGATAATTTAAGTTAAGGAAAGGTGGCTAGAAGCAAGCCAAGTTAAGGCCGGGCATTTATAAGTAATAGTAAGCCTCCATGTGTGATTTATTTGGGAGCTGGGCAGCGGGCCCCCCGAAAGAGAAAAAGCAAACAACAACAAGCAGCTTTACTGCGTAGATAGAGAAAACCTTATGCCTGTGGCCTTCCTTGCCAAAGCTTTGGCAAGCCAGGCCCTGGGTAAGAGCCAGGGACAGGCCAGTGCCAGCAGGTTGGGCAGAAGATTGTACAGGGTCTCTTAGCTGCCCTTCTGATGAAAGAGGCTTGGGGCATCTTTGCTCCCCCCCCCCCCCCCCGATTCCCTAGGCTGCCAGCTGGGCCAAACTAAGACCATGACCACCTTTCCCCTGGGAAGAAAGCAGCCATAGAGAGGCCCGTGTTTCCTGCCACGGCCCCACAGGGGCTAGCCCCAGCAGAGGGGCGACGTGGAGCAGACAGCTTGTTGCGGTTCTGAAGTTCTAGTCTATCTCTACTGCTAACTACGGGGGAAGGCCTTTCCTTCTCTTTCTTTTCCCTTTCCCCATGTGTGTGGGAGGGGAATCCTTTTTGCTCCACATTGTGTTTGAGATGCCCTCCTTCTACACTGGCCTGGAAATTGTCTCCCTTTGTATAAAAGGTCAGATGACCCAAGCTCCTAGCTACACAGCTGTCTTGCTATCCTGCCCCCCCCCCCGCCCCCCGACAGTTGCTAACATTTCTCCCCACCTCCCTCTTACCCTGGAGGACCCGTGGGAGACCTTCATACTCCTGAACTCTCTTCCTACCCCCCCCCCCCCCAATACTCAAAAGGAATGAAGCCCTCATAGTTACTCCGTGCCCTGCCCTGCCCAAGTCCCAGTCAGGGTTCTAGTGAAGAACTCTGAAGGCTGGTCAGCCGTAGGCATCAGGCCCTCCTCACTCTCTCACCCGGGCTGGTACCTCTTTCCAGCATATGCAGAACATCACTTTCCAAACGGAGGCCAGCGTGGCCCAAAAGGAGGAGGAGTTCCAGAGCCCCAAATACATCTTTCACAACTTTATGGAGAGACTCTGGGCATTACTGACCATAAACCAACAGCTGGAGCAGATGTGAGTGACCCCTGACCCTTGCAGGCTACTGCGGCAGGTTTCACATGGTATCAATAAACCTTTCGGTGGTGGGGCAGGCGCAGCTGGTGCAGATTATCTCCCAGGCGTGGAATGAGGCGTTCTGGCCGAACTCTACATTCTCCCAAGGGGACTCTCCCAAGAAGGGACTGGTGAGGGGGGAGACTGCCGAGATACCCAGAGACCTCCTGAGTGCTTATGTTTTCAACCCACAGGGTCTTCAGCATCAGGTGACGAGTTAAAGGCCCTTGAGTCCCAAGCTCTGAATCTGTCACTCACATACAATTTTGTCACTCCTCTTACACATATGGTGGTCACCAAACCTGAAGGCCAAGAGCAATTTCAAGTTGCTGAGAAGCCTGTGGAAGCCGGTGAGTGTGGGGCCTGGGTCTCGGCCTCATTCATCGGCAAAGATTCACTGCCTTCTAACCAAGCCCCTGCCATCCACAGACTCCCAGAGACCCAGGGAGACCCACCTCAGTTCACTAAGGAGGAGACTGAGGACAGGTCTTGCAGCCCCCTAGATTCGCTGCATGCACCTGTAGTCTGGGACTCGGGAAGCAAGTTAAACATAAGCACTTCGAATTGGCAAAACCACTCCATAATACCTCCCTTTCCTTTTCTTTTTCTTTGTACAGATAACGGACGAAGGAATGTCTTCTTAGGAGGTAAGGGCCTATTATAGCTCAAAGGCAGGCCTGTGTGCGGTCCACCAGCATGCTGGAGGCCGCCTTCTGCCCTGCAGCCAGGAGCTGGTGTTACCTGACCAGACTCACAGTCTACATAGTCACTTGCTCACTCAAATACTGGCTACCCTTCAGGCCTTGACCTGGACTCTAGGTACACAGGCCTCATCCAGATGGAGCCCCAGAGGCTTGGCTCCAGGGAGTAAACACAGGTCTCACTGTCTTTCAGGTAGAAACCATTTTCTCAAATCTCATAGCAGAAGACCTGGATGGCTCAGACCAACAGGTAACAATGGAAGAAGGGATGAGAAGCAGAAGTTTGTAGGACTGTGGCAGGATATAGCCTGGGCTCTGCACTAGGCTGTGGAAGGACAGTGTCTGGCCTAGTTCGTTTGGCTGGGAACAGGCCTGTGACTAAAGATCAGGTGTGTTTAATTAGAAGTTGGCCATCTAGAACCTTACTTGATCCAGAGAAGGGGATTTAGTAATCGGAGTAATTTAAAGGGCACAGCCCAGGGGAGGATTGATCTTCCAGGGGGGCATCCCACCAGTGGTTGTCTCCTGGCTGGGGGAGGCTCTCCAGCAGAGAAACAGGAGAACCAGGACATTGCCCGTGAGAACTCCGCTCACATAGTGTTTTTAAACTAGCCATTAGGGTTGCACGCAGAGCCCAGCCTGGGTGCTGTTGGCACTACATCTAGACAACACATTTCTCCTGGACTTCGTGGACTTCCTGCACCCCCTGGTGAACCTCATCTCTCCTCGGCTAGCTTTGATAGCTTTAATTTCATACGGCATCCTTTCGTGGGAAGGACACCAGACCTGCCGTCCTTATGTGAGCCCCCCCTCCTTTCTGACCCACAGTTGCCTTCTTCTTCTTCTTCATAACTCAATGACTCTGACCCATAGAGGGAGAAAAGGCACCAAGCCCTGGCTAGGCAAGCACATCTGCAAGCACATCTGCAAGCCCAGCTGCAGAAAGAGCAGGTGGCCTAGGCCTAGCTAGGACCCCCGTCCCAAAGCAGAGCCAGGATCCAGGGGCTGGAGGTGAGCCATCACCTCCGGTGACAACCCCCACTTTCCATCCCTCAACCAGCCTCCCCTTTGCCCTGTGCTCAGCGTTGTGTGTCAGGAGCATGCTGCCCTGACTCTTGCTCTGCCCCTAGATCGCCAGCCCACAAGCCCTGACAGGGTACCCGCTGCTGTGAACCCTGGGCCCCGAGAGGACTCGTGACAAGGCTCTTTGGACCACCATGGCCAATTCTTTCCTTCTTGAGATACCTCTTCCCTCCCCCAGAGGAGTGTTTTATCCATTCTTTGTTCTCACCGAAGATCCACTCCCCATGATGGGAAAGGAAGCCTTCCCCCATTTCCAAAGTCAACTATGGTCCCTGGCACTGCTTCCCGCTGCCAGTGTGAACTCAGACTCAGTCAGGACCTATCTCCTTGAAATCTCCCCTGCCTGCCCCTCGAGGCCTGAGCTTGATGGGCAGTAAGGACAGGGGCAGGGGCCCTGCAGGTGCAGCGGACTGTGTGACCTGACTGCCTCTCCCTTTCTGTCCGTGACTGTTCCTGTGCTCACTCACCTCAGCATCCAAAGTTCCTGTGGTTTCAAGTCAAGCTGTGTTACGAAGCATGGACAAAGATAAAGGTACTGGGCCTGCTGTGGGATGTTCTGTATGGCAAATGTGTTGCTGATTAGTCAATAAATAAATCACTGATTGGCCATTGGCTAGGCAGGAAGTGTAGGCGGGACAAGGAGGAGAATAAAGCTGGGAAGTGGAAGGCTCAGTCAGAGAGACACTGCCAGCCGCCACGATGAGAAACAGCATGTGAAGATGCCAGTAAGCCATGAGCCATGTGGCAAGGTATAGATTAATGGAGATGGATTAATTTAAGCTGTAAGAACAGTTAGCAAGAAGCCTGCCACGGCCATACAGTTTGTAACCAATATAAGTCTCTGTGTTCACTTGGTCGGGTCTGAGCAGCTATGGGACTGGCAGGTGAGAGAGATTTGTCCTGACTGTGGGCCAGGCAGGAAAATTCCAGCTACATGGGCCTAGGGATGTAATGGACCGCTTGCCTGGAGTGCACAGGTTCCTGAATTTGCTTCCCAGCACCAGAAAACAAGCAAAAACTTAAAGATGCCCAAGCCAGAGCTCCTGCAGTAGCTCCAGGAGATACTGGAAAAGGGGAGCCCTGGAAGTAAGGGAGAGCCCTAGGACTCTATAACCTGTTATGTGATATTCTACATGTTAAAGTGGAAAGAGAAAGCACCAGCCACAGTCACCTGCTCCTCCGTCCACAATGCCCTCTTCCTCAGAAAGGGACTACCTGAACCCAGACTTTTTCTTTCTTCTTTTAGAAAGCGCCACACCAGATGAAGCCCCCCCGCCAGGTAATTAGCCCTCCCAGCACCCCACCCCACCTTTGTCCCGCCAGATTCTTCCTGACCCGGGAACGGTGTCCTGGCCGTTTCAGCCCACTTGCAGGCTCCTGCTGTCATCTTGCCGCTTCCTGGATCCAGTGAGGGCCAGCTCTGTGTGGACATCACACGTTCTCACGTGCCCATGAAGCTGTTCATAGACCCTGGTCAAGGTAAGAGATGCATCCCAGGAATCCACATAGAAACCCAGACTCTACTCATATGACTTATCACAGCAACATACCCATTGTGGGCAAATGTCCTGTGTACCAAAAAGGCACTCCCTCCCACAGCCGCCTACAAGCTTTCACCGGGAACTCCCCAGGACCTGCACGATCAGCTTCCAGAGCTGAGAGCAGGCTAGAGTTGCCTAGAGTCAGGGATCTGTACAGGGTCACCCAAGATTGTCAGACGAGCCGAGAAAAGGGTAAGGGTGTCCCAGGTAGAGGACACAGAGCTGAGGAACACAGGGGCCCTGTGTTTCCGTGGACCCCTAGTAGTATGGAGGAGGGGAGTGGTTGAGGAAACATATGCTAGCCAGACTCCCACTCACTAATGCTGGAATGGCCTCACTGGTCAAGCTGAAGTGTCCAGGCAGACGCAGGTGGGTACAGCAGTCAGCAGTGTTTACGCTGAGCTACAAAGTACTCTGGGACAGCCACAACTCCTTCATTCCTCTGAGAACAATGTGATCTCCTGCTTCATCCCTCAGGCTCACATGCCTGCCTTGTCCCTGAGGCAGGGACTTCCCACCTCACTCTCAGCCAAGCAGTGAGCTTGGGACCCAGAGACACTGCAGGGGACCAATGAATGCTTAGATACTTGAAACAAGACACATGCACACCCTCATTATCAAAAGTCTAACTAGGTGGCCATCCACATGATTTGAGGTCCAAATCCACAGAAAACCAAAACTTGAGTTAGATATCATAAGAACTAGACCTGAACCAGGCATGATGGCACACAGCTTTAATCCCAGCACTTGGGAAACAGAGACAGGCTGATCTCGGTGAATTTGAGGCCAGCCTGGTCTACATAATGTGTTTTCTAGGCCAGCCTAGGCTACTAGGTGAGATATTGTCTCAAAAAAGAAAAAGGAAGCCGGGCGGGGTGGTGGCGCACGCCTTTAATCCCAGCACTCGGGAGGCAGAGCCAGGCGGATCTCTGTGAGTTCGAGGCCAGCCTGGGCTACCAAGTGAGTTCCAGGAAAAGGCGCAAAGCTACACAGAGAAACCCTGTCTCGAAAAAACCAAAAAAAACAAAAGGAGAACTAGACCTGAATTGCTGAGGGAGAGCGACCCTTCCGAGGACCCAGTTCCAGGAAGGACATAGTCAGAGAGACCTCCTGCTCAGGCCAGTGCCCAGAATTGACTTTGAACTCTCTGGTCTGGTCTTCTTAGGGCTTTTGGTGGCAGGTGTGTATGAGAATGGCATTTTCTCATGGATCAGTGTGCGCATCCAAGAGCCTCCCCTTTTTGTGGAGGCAACCCCTAAACACTTGGTGGTGACTCGGGACCGAAAAAACACCGCGTACAAGTGGAAGCAGACACTGTACTCTGCATTACCTGGGTAAGTCCCAGGGTGGGATCCTAGGTGTGTGTGGCCTCTCAGGCTGTACTGACTGTGATGTTAGTGATGAGAGGTGGCCAGAAGCCACCGATGTGAAGTGCTTGGTTTTAAGTCCCCTGTAGCGGGCTGCGCTCCTGGCAGGACAGGGGTAAATTTTGTCCTGCAGCTCTGGAAGCATTGTCCTGGGATCTGGACCTTATCCCTCACCTAGGTCACTAGCCCATGTAAAGGTGGTGTGGTTTGGAGCTAGCTTTGGAGCTGATCCTGTGTGCGGAAGCCACATAACCCTTCAAGTCTTAGTTTCCTTAGTAAACACTAGACCCTTCCAGATTCTGAGTCAGAGGCCTAGGGACCCATCAAAACATCTGTCATCAGATGGTCTAGTGTCTCCCACGTGTGCTGACTGGTGAGCTCAAGGTGACATTTATGAGAAGCCTGAGGCCCAGCATCACCAGGGCTTCGGAATGCTCCTCTCTCTGCAGGGTGTGAGAATTCTCGTGCTGTAACCTCACCTGGGAGGAACAGTGGAAGGAGGGTTGTTTTGGCTCAGAGTTTCCGGTCTTTGGTCATTGGGGTCTGTTGTTTCTGGTGAGGCAGACCATCACGGTGGAGAGTGTGAGCATGGCTCACCTCATGGCAGCCCAGAGGCAGAGAAGCGCTGCAGCACATGCCTGCCTAGCAAACTTCGTGTTTTCTGCTTTTTGTGCCATCCAGGCCCCCACCCTGATGCCTGATGCCGCCTGTGTCCAGGGTGGCTGTCCCTGCTGAGTTGCTATCTGACAGGCCGATGGACTCTGGAAATGCCGTTATAGACACACTCCAAAATATTCTTTTCTGTCTAAGTATTTCACAGTCCAATCAAATTGGCAATTAAAACCACCCATCAGCCTGTCTCAAGCTTTGCCCTGGAGAGGGCAGCTTCACTGGTATCACTTGTTGGGAAACCAGTAGGAAATGGAGGCAGACGGTGCCTCTGGGAAGCAGGACTGTCCCAGCTTTCTAGCTCGCTCAGTCACAGGAAACTGAAACCCTTTCGCAGTATGTCCTCTGAGTTCCCGGCCTGTTCCATAGCCTGTCTTTTCCCAAGCAAAGGTCTTGTCCATTTCCATCTGGCCAAGCCTTTAGCTGGGCCTTGTTCACATCTGACGAATAAGTGTAGACAGAGAAAATCCAGTGTGCCCATCTGACGTCCTCCCAGTGTGCCCTTCTGAAGTCCTCCAGTGTGCCCTTCTGAAGTCCTCCAGTGTGCCCTTCTGAAGTCCTCCAGTGTGCCCTTCTGAAGTCCTCCAGTGTGCCCATCTGAAGTCCTCCAGTGTGCCCATCTGAAGTCCTCCAGTGTGCCCATCTGAAGAAGTCCTCCCCGTGTGCCCTTCTGAAGAAGTGCTCCGCGTGTGCCCATCTGAAGAAGTGCTCCCCGTGTGCCCATCTGAAGAAGTGCTCCCCGTGTGCCCATCTGAAGAAGTGCTCCCCGTGTGCCCATCTGAAGAAGTCCTCCCAGTGTGCCCTTCTGAAGAAGTGCTCCCCGTGTGCCCATCTGAAGAAGTCCTCCCAGTGTGCCCTTCTGAAGAAGTGCTCCCAGTGTGCCCATCAAGGACAGAGTTTCCTTTCGAGACAGGCATAATGGGCACCTTTAGTCTCAATATTAAAGAGGAGCCGCAGGTTCTTCCTCCACTTGATGAGAGACAGAATGAGAGAAGACTCCCCTACAGATGTTAAAGTGCATTGTTTAGCATTAGTCGTCTAAGACCGTGGCTCCAGCTGTCAAAACGTAGGGCTGAGGGCAGGCGTGTGAGACTCTCCTGCTGCTGTGAGCGGAAACCCCAGGGGAACATCTTAAGGGAGGAAGGGTTTACTCTGTCCACATCAGAGGTTTCAGTCCGTCGTGGCAGGAGGGCGTGGCAGAGCACCATAGCTCACAGCCTGACAGCCCAGGACAGAGGATGCCTGCAAGAGAGAACTTTTCCCTTTTATTCCATCCAAACCCCAGCTTTTGAGATAGTGTGGCCCATGTTCAGGATGGGCCTCCCACCTCCATTTAACCCCCAGAAGTATCCCCATAGACGCATCAGAGATGGATTTTGCTAATATTCCAGGTGCTCCTCATTCCAATCAAACTGACAATGATTATTATCCACCCCCCCAATAAAAGCATATAAAATTAATTCATGAGAAACCTAATTTAAAACCAGAGGAAAGGAATTATAATTCTTTTATACACAATGTAGGGAAATTGGACATGGTTCAGCTCACTTTGGTGCTCTTCTGCCACTGAGAAAACAGCCATGCCCCGCCCCCTGTAGTCACTTTTGCGCCACCTACCGAGACTCCACAAAGGTGTCTCTGCCTTCCTGCTCAGGGTTTGGGGTTTCTCTGCAGCTTGAAGATAACCATGGACAAGACGGGGCTCCTGCAGTTCAGTGGCCCAGACAGAGTAAACATTGCCCTCTTGCCTGTGGATAACCCTCAAGATGGATTGATACTCCTTGTGAATGACACTCAACACTTCTCCAACAGCACTGATGGAGAACTCGGTACTCCGCCTGCCCTTAGAAACCGCCTGTGACAAGCACAGGCGGGTGCCTCTCACTCTGCCCACCCCCCTCATTGTCTCTACCCCTCACTGACCTACCCTCTTATCTCAGGTCAGTTTTACCAGACTATCATCTGGGACCCACCAGGTGGACCAGATAACACGGTACGGACTCTCAGAGTTCAGGGAACAGAGTACTCTGCTACTAGGTAAGTATACAACCAGCTGGCCCGAGCCTGGCTGTGGGGGGTGGGGATTAGGAGGGTGCGAGCTGGGATCTACAGAACCTCACCCTTGTCCCCTTGCTTGGGAACTAAAAACAGATGAAAGGATCATTCAGCTCAGACTCACAGAAAACACACAGGCTATGGGCTGGGCTGTGGGCAGTAGCATGAGCTCCTTGTCCCTCCCCCAACTTCCAAAGTCCTGGGCCCAGAAGACCTCACATGCTAAGTCCCTTGAATAGTCCTTTGAGCAACTGGGCCTTCCCGACCTATGCCAGAGGGAATTCTGAGGGATCTGAGACTCCCTACACCCCATGTTCCTGTCTACAACTGTTTCCCGTCTCTTCCATCCTACCTGAGATTTGTTGACCATCTATTTATGTTTTTCTCTGATCTTCCCCCCCCCCCCCCAGACAGCTCAAGTTGAAATACCCAGAAACAGAGATTTCCTGCTGGACCGTGAAGATCTAGCTGCTAGGAGCAGTGTTCTCTGGCACACTGTGTTTGTGTGCAGATGGGTGACACTGTATGCCTGCAGGGCCACCAGTGAGGCCTAGATCTTAATGGAGAAGAGAATCCTCATTTATTACAAATAAATCAGGGTGATGTGAACCCAGGGAGTTGGTGTTGTGATTCCATGTGGCCAGTCCCGGGGGCCTTATGGTGCCAACCTGAATATTCTGCCTCATAGAACATTAGGATCTTCCACAACTGGCCCTCAATGGCCTGGGGCCAAGGAAACCCATAGAAAGTTTTCAGCCCTACCTTTGTCAAAGGAATATAAAACCAGCCATTCAAAATGTCAGGGCAGCACCAAGTGAGGGCCCCAGAACTGAAGAGTGTTCTCCAGAGAGAGCAGAGTTCTGGCTACTTTGTGGTTGCCTGGACCATGAAAACCAGCTTTGACTGAAAAAGTGTCAACCGGGTTGCAGAGCTGTGTGATTTTTTTTTTTTTTGAGAAGATGCGAATTATTGCCTTTTCATCCCAGAGAGGGTACCAATGACAGATCAAAGGAAGAATCCCACCCTAGTCTGCTGCTGGATGACCAGCTTTTAGCTGCTCACAGAAACTGGACAGGAGGTGTGATGTTGTTGGAGCTGCGTGTACACACAGGAGACTTTTTTCTGAGGGTCAAAGCTTAATTCTTCATTTTATTTTTGTCTCTGCTGGATGTCCTTTTTTTTGTCTTACATTTTTCCCTTAATCCTGTTTATTACACCTAAGACAAAGATTTCTATGCAAGGAAAGATTACCTCATAACCACAAGTTAAATATTTCCCCAAAACAAATTAAAATCTTTACATAAGAAGAAATCACAGTATGATCACAAGTTACATGTTTTTCCTTAGAAGTCAAGTAGTTAAATATTTTTCTTTGTATTAATTTTCCCACCATAACATCTTCACCCCAAAACAGTGAGTATTTTATTATTGGTTAACAAAGTTTTTGTGTTTTTTTTTTTTTGGTTTTTCGAGACAGGGTTTCTCTGTAGTTTTGCGCCTTTCCTGGAACTCACTTTGTAGACCAGGCTGGCCTCGAACTCACAGAGATCCGCCTGGCTCTGCCTCCTGAGTGCTGGGATTAAAGGCGTGCGCCACCACCGCCCAGCTTGGTTAACAAAGTTTTAAGCAAGCTAACCCAGTTCCTTTTGTGCGGCAGGCGGCTGTTTGCGGTTTCTGTGTAGCAGATTTATATTCTTTTTTTAATTTCTATTCTTAATTCCACTCCAGAGAAACTTTAAATGAGTGGTCAGTTAACCATCTTTTTTTTTCTTTATATACAATAGGATCATTTAATTTCCTTTTACAACTTTGTTTTTTCAAGGTGCATATCAACGCCTGTGACTAATTATGTAAGTTACATGACCAAGGAACTCGGGCCTGACCTTGGGTGTAGGGACATAGTTGTTTTCTTTGATCATCCGCCTGTTTTTTCACAGGCAGAATTCATGGGTCTGTAATGCATGAAACTTCCTTGTTCTTGTTTTCCATCCTCTGCAAATCTCACATCTAGCAAAGGGGAAGGTGACTTTTAGCCCATGATTGCCCTTTTTGTATCTCTTAGTGGAGCAATTGGCAGAATAACCTAAGTCATGTCCCTAATCATCTTTACTAACCATCCTAACCACCGTATCTTTTAGGCTAACTCAGAAAGTCCAGTTAAATCATAGATCTAACTAATCATCACTGCTCTCATAAAAATCCTCTTCATTATGATCTGCAAGTAAACTGCCCATTGAGGAGTGGGATTTTCCCAAGAAACATCACACTAGGTTAGATGCAGTGGGAGCCCTTCACAGAGTAACCACGCCTTGCCAAACACAGCAGCACCCAGCAGGAAGAAGCACCTTCTGGAGACAATCGCCATCCATGCCCCCAGGTTTTGCTTCTCCAGGATTTAGCTTTGCTGTTCGGTGAATTGAACTCCATAAGCTCCATTGCTGATCGCAGCTCCTCTGCCATGGCCACTAGTCCAGCTGGTAAACCAATGTGTTTATTGAATACCTACAAGAGCAGGACGAGGGGTTACATACAGGAGCAGGGACGAGGGGTTACATACAGGGGCAGGACGAGGGGTTACATACAGGGGCAGGACGAGGGGTTACATACAGGAACAGGACGAGGGGTTACATACAGGAGCGCAGACGAGGGGTTACATACAGGAGCATGGACGAGGGGTTACATACAGGGGCAGGACGAGGGGTTACATACAGGGGCAGGACGAGGGGTTACATACAGGGGCAGGACGAGGGGTTACATACAGGAGCGCAGACGAGGGGTTACATACAGGAGCGCAGACGAGGGGTTACATACAGGGGCAGGGATGAGGGATTACATACAGGAGCAGGGACGAGGGGTTACATACAGGGGCAGGGATGAGGGGTTACATACAGGGGCAGGGACGAGGGGTTACATACAGGAGCAGGGACGAGGGGTTACATACAGGAGCGCAGACGAGGGGTTACATACAGGAGCAGGACGAGGGGTTACATACAGGAGCAGGACGAGGGGTTACATACAGGAGCACGGATGAGGGGTTACATACAGGGGCAGGACGAGGGGTTACATACAGGGGCAGGACGAGGGGTTACATACAGGAGCAGGACGAGGGGTTACATACAGGAGCACGGACGAGGGGTTACATACAGGGGCAGGACGAGGGGTTACATACAGGGGCAGGACGAGGGGTTACATACAGGAGCAGGCGAGGGGTTACATACAGGAGCGCAGACGAGGGGTTACATACAGGGGCAGGACGAGGGGTTACATACAGGGGCAGGACGAGGGGTTACATACAGGAGCAGGACGAGGGGTTACATACAGGGGCAGGACGAGGGGTTACATACAGGAGCGCAGACGAGGGGTTACATACAGGGGCAGGACGAGGGGTTACATACAGGGGCGCAGACGAGGGGTTACATACAGGGGCAGGACGAGGGGTTACATACAGGGGCAGGACGAGGGGTTACATACAGGGGCAGGGACGAGGGGATACATACAGGGGCAGGACGAGGGGTTACATACAGGAGCAGGACGAGGGGTTACATACAGGGGCAGGACGAGGGGTTACATACAGGAGCGCAGACGAGGGGTTACATACAGGAGCAGGACAAGGGGTTACATACAGGAGCGCAGACGAGGGGTTACATACAGGGGCAGGGACGAGGGGATACATACAGGAGCAAGAACGAGGGGTTACATACAGGGGCAGAAGTGACTCTTCTTCACAGTGACATCACCGTGAAGCCCACCCATCAGGGATGGTCACTCTGTGTTGCCTCCCTGGAGGCCAGAGAGCTGGCTCCATAGCTAAGAGCAATTGCTGCTCTATCTGAGGCCTGGAGTTCGGTTCTCAGCTCCCCACCCTCCAATAAATAAAAAGTCATAAGGGGCTGGAGAGCTGGCTCCGCAGTGAAGAGCATTGGCTGCTCTTCCAGAGGACCTGGATTGGATTTCTGTCACTTGGTAGTGACTCAGAACTGTCTGTAACTCCATTTCCTGTAGATCTGATGACCTCTTCCGGACTCTATGCAAGTGCTACACAGACATACATGCAGGCAAAACACCCATACACACAAAATAAAATAAATTAAATTTTGAAAATAAATAAAATATAAAATAATGAACTGTTTTTAAAAAATAAGAGAAAGAGCCAGGTGTGATGGCGCCCACCTCTAACTCCAGTACTCAGAGGCAGAGGCAGGCAGATCTCTAACAGTTCAGGGCCAGACCAGTCTGCATGTGAGTTCCAAGCTAGCAAGGACTACATAGAAAAAAAAAAAAAAAAAAAAGCCGGGTGGTGGCGCACGCCTTTAATCCCAGCACTCAGGAGGCAGAGCCAGGCGGATCTCTGTGGTTAAGGGCAGCCTGGGCTAGAGATCAAGCTCCAGAACAGGCACTAAAACTACACAAAGAAACCCTGTCTTGAAAAACCAAAAAAAAAAAAAAAAAAAAAAAAGGAAAAGAAAAAAGGAGGAGAGGGAGAGAAGAGAGATAAAGAGAAATTTGCACCCTAGAGTGCCTGGCAGTTTTCAGGCTGTTCACCTGAGTCCCCTGCCCCAGCAACTGAAGCTTGGGGAGGAAGCTCGTGAATGTGTTATTTTCTGAGCTTCCTAATCTTCCCCTCCTCCCTCCTCCCTTCCCCTCCTCCCTTCCCCTCCTCCCTTCCCCTCCTCCCTCCTCTCTTCCCCTTTCTCCCTCCTCCCTTCTCCCTCCTCCCTCACGCCCCTCTTCCCTTACACCTCCTCCCTCTTCCTCCTCCTACCTTCTCCCTTCCTCCCTTCTCCCTTTTCTCGTCTCCCTCCTCCCTCCTCCCTCCTCCCTCCTCCCTCCCCCTCCAGGGAAGAATGTTTCCCTTCTGAGGAAATACCTGCACACACACACACACACACACACACACACACACACACACACACACACACACACAGAGCTAGTCCAACTCCCAGACTTTCTCACTTTGGAGGCCCTCCCCAGTGGGGTTTGCCTTAGTTTGGTCTTTACACCTAGGTTCAGGTACAGACCTATCTACCCAATGCCTGGTTAAAAACCAAACAACAACAAAACTACCACTGGAAGAAGGCAGTGGTGAGGCCTAGGCCCACGAGGCAAGCAAGGGCTGCTTCCAGAAACCTCTCATCTGAGGGTGATGGGGCTCTCTCAAGTCTTGTGCTGTTGAGGGCCTCTTCTCCTGAGCATGCACCCTGGAGAGTTTACCCAAAATATTTTTAAGTTTGTATTATAATGCAGGGCATGGCTGTGCACATCTTTAATCCCAGCACTCGGCAGGCAGAGGCAGACAGATCTCTGTGAGTTCAAGCCCAGTTTGGTCTATATAGCAAGTTCCAGGCCAGCCAGGGCTACAAAGAGAAACCCCGTCTCAAAAACAAACACAAACAAACAACAAAACAGCCTTCGTATCGAGAGTTTCATATCTGTGGACTCAACCAGCCACGGGTTGACACTTTTCCAGA